TTTGTAAAAGCAGACAGATATGCAGCAGTTCTAAGTGCTTCAATTTGCAGCTTGGAAACTGACTTTCTCGCTGTCCGAAGTGAAGCTTGGGTTGTGTTGTTCGCAGGTTCGGTGGCCACCGCGTGCCGTGACCCAGGGGTGCCCATGAATGGGACTCGCAATGGAGATGGAAGGGAGCCTGGGGACACTGTTGTATTTCAGTGTGACCCTGGATATGAGCTTCAAGGACAAGAAAGAATAACCTGCATTCAGGTAGAAAATCGATACTTCTGGCAGCCCAGCCCGCCCGTCTGTATAGGTATGATTAAGAATGATTAAAGTTTATTTATCTAAACATAAAACGTGGTTAAAAACTTGTAACGATGTCATGAAGAGAATTCTATTCTATAGTAAATTCTGTATGGGAATCTAAGATTTGAGAGATTCCAAAACTCCGAAAAATGTACAAAATTACAAAGAATCATGAATTTTTCTATCCAACAAGCAGCCTTAATTTTATTAGATTCTTACTGCTTCTAAGTTCTTTAAAGAGTTGTGAGGCAAAACTTGGAAAATCTTGATCATCCTTTGCTACATAAATGTAGCTTTTCATAGCTTTAAAAATTTAGAATGCAATTGCTCTCTTCAATGGAGTTGCTCAAATTACAGATACTAGCATAGAAAATTGGTCAAAGTAAAACTTTTAAACAAATGAGCTGCTAGCTTTCATCTATTTTTAAACAATGTATATTATTTCTAATGTCCTATCTATTTTTTATACTCTCTTTAAAATAGATTTAAAAATAAAAGGGACAAGGAAAAATATTCAAGGTTTTTTTGGAAAGGAAGAGTTGATATTTTAATTATTTGATCAATCTTACATGCCTATATCTGGTAGTCTGAGCAACAAATTTGTTGATAACAATATGTAGTATAACAAACCTTGTTAGTTTCCTGTTCTTAGTTTGAAATCCTGTACCATTTTTAATGTTTTATGTTACTTTGTATTTTGTCATTCTTGTGATTTGTTTTTGAGTTTTCCCTCTTTACAATAAAATTTTAAAAAATTAAGAGTAGATTCAAACTGTACAATTAGAGTACTCCATATTGATCTTACCTCTATGATGGTTATTTATTCTAATAGACAAAATTTATTTATTATTATTTATTTAGAAATTATGATAGAATTTCAAAGTTTTGGTTTTATTTTCAATTCATGTATCATAAAATAATATCAGAAACTTAAAAGTACAAACCATGTCATCACTAGATCTGAGAAAAAATATATTAATTTTGGCATAAAAGCAGTGACAAAATCTACTTTATAGTTAAATTAGTTTAATCATAAACCTTTGTGTTCAGGTGTTTCAGTTCTGCTTTCATTTTAAAGTCAGAATGCATTTAGAACAAGTTATATTTTCTCTACTGAAAATTCTGTTTATTTACTTATAGTTTTACTCTATTTCAAACAACTTCAGAGAAGATTTCATATCACATTATACTTCTTACAGTACTCAAATAATTTACATTTACCACAACTGTACTCATAAAAACAGGGAAAATAGTTTAAGGAATATTTATGAAGAAAAAGAGACTAGAAAAATTCATGTTTCTGTGTAAGTTTTTATGTTTATCTACACTTAATTTAATCTAAAACAATTCCAACTAAACTTCACATTTTAATTAATTGAAATTTGACTTATTTCCCATAAGGTGAATCTTTTGTAAAAAGGAAATGATAAAATATCACGGAATTGCTACTACTTGTCCTTTCAGACCTAAATAATGCTCATTAGGATTATCAGAAGGGATATATTATGTCAAATGTCTTTTATATAGAAACTTAAAATATTGCATAACTTTGTACTGAAATTATAGAAAACCCTAAAATCCAAAATGCAAAAGATAAAAGAGCCCTGAGATCGGCAGTTATAACATTCCATTTATAGACAACAATATGCTTTAGCTAGCAAGGCCTAATTCTAGGAGAAAAAATAGCTGAGCACTAAATCTTACTTAAATGGAGCAGGCTGTGGAAATTTTCTGTATGGATTATGGTGCTGTGTATTATTTTTTTGGTAAGGAAAGATAGCTTGAGGAAAAGATATGCATTAGAGCTTCTCTAGTGAGGAAAATAACCTTTAAAAAAGGGTGAAAAATTGCTAAGCCTGCAGAAAGCTTGACCTCTGAAACTGATAAGAAAGAACTCCATGATTGGAAATACTGTGCCAAAGATTAAACCCTGAACTTTTTAGAAACTCCACACATCTATGTCTCTGACCCTGGAGCGTAAGGCATTTTACTTGCATGTCCAAGTAGCCAGCCTGAGAGTGAGTACTAAACAGAAGCACATCGTCCTTAGAGACTTAATAGGATTCATTCCAGCTAAATTGACAGTGTGAAGATTACTTTGACATTGCCAGGGGGAAAGTAGCAGCACTCAATATGAAGGTAAATAACAAAGGCATTAGTGCGGGTGGGTGGGCGGGTGGTGGAGAAGTCCAGAACACAAATGAAACTGAGTTGGGGAAAAATTAAGACTGGCAAACATTTATCAGTAATTGCGCTCATCGAGCTGCTTTATAAGAATCTACACTCAACGAATCACTCTTGATGAGCTTCTATGAAAATTCACCAAAATTTTAGTGCATGGGTTTTTTTTAACTTTTATTTTTGATGCTTGATGATTAGATGCATAGAAGTAAAGATTCTTTTATTTATTTTTTATTAATTTTATTGAGAGACAAAGAGCAGTGAGACGGTTTCAAAAGCGATTAGTAGGACAGTTTCAATAATTAATACATTGCATAGTGTTGTCTTTGTAGTGGGTATCTCTGACAAAACTAAAGATACATTCTAAATACTACTTAAGGCTCAGTTTATTTACTTACTGGTTGTTTAGGACTTACAAATGCAAAAATAACATTTTTCTCTGGGTTATGAGATTTTGTAGGTATATTTGGAAAATCTTCATGAATAATTTAAATAATCAAGTAAAAAGAATTTTGGGGAGTCTTATGTCCCAATACAAATATGATCTTGTATAATATCTAATAATACACTTAAAATACATATAATGAAGTTTCCTATATTTTCATTGATAAAATATATATAAATAAAATTTATTTATATATGTATATGAATATCTATATAATTTTTTTAACAATAAAGGCCAACATATCCACTAGAAAATAAGGAGCTGGGGAGATAGCTCAGTAGAATAAGCACTTGCCTAGCAAGCACAGGGTCCTGAGTTCAATCCCCAGTACTGGGAAAAAAGAAAAATCCAGTTGTAGAAAATACGGAAAGCTGTTGTTTCCCCATAATTCCCAAATTACACTTATTTCCATCAGTTTTGCACCTAAAAAGAATCATGAGAAATATTTTGCCATCATTCTACTTTTAATGTGTACATAATTATATGTGCAATTATTCACATTTTCATATGCTTCTTCATATTCCTATATGGCTTTTAAAACGCCAAAGGCAAACTACACTGCAATTTTTATGTAACTTCAAATTGAATTGTACTTTTACCTATACAGCCCTCTTCACTATTTCCTGATGGATATAAAGAACAAGCAGGGCTGGCCAAATAGCGCAGATTAAAGAGCCCACAAGCAGGCACAGAGGCCAGAGGTTCGATCCCAGACCTGCTGTGCTGGCCCCACCCTCTGTGTGCGCTGAGACAGCAATTGAGACTGGTATGATGGCGCGCACCTGTAATCCCAGCACTTGGGAGACTGTGAACAAGTGAATCACTATAAGTGTCATCTAGTAGTGAGACCCTGAACACCCTGTAGACCCTTCCCTAAAATACAAAAAATAAATTAATAATAATAATAATCATGCAATTGGGGCTGGTCTGATAGCTCAGTGGACTAAAGCACCCACTTAGGTAGAGCACAGCAGCCAGGGTTCGATCCCCAGTGTCCTGTGCCAGCCCCACCTGCTAGGCATGCTGAGACAGATTGAGACTGGGCGTGGTGGAGCATGCCTGTAATCCCAGTGCTTTGAAGCCTGAAAACAGGAGAATCATTTCTGATCTATGTAGTAAGACCCTGTAGAGCCTGTGGGCCCTATCCTAAATACAGAAAAAAAAGCAATCTACATTTATTCATGTATAATGAGCTAAATATAGTCATGTATTCATGAGAAAAATTTATATTTATTCAAACACAGTCATGCCATCTTCTAAAACATCATCACAGCTCTCCATCCCCAGAATTCCAGCCTAAATTCCTTGCAGCTCCAGTTCCCGTAGAACCGCTGTCTCTAAACGCTCATGCCCAGCCATAGAGCTCTCCTTAAATGAGCACTTCTTGTCCATGTAACCTGCTCATAGCGCACTGGAAGCAGAGCTGTCAGTGATTTTGTCCCTGAGTCCTTGAGCCTTTTGTCATAGCCTCTTGAGGGTTAGGCTTCACAAAGTTCCCATGAAATCAAATGTCTACTGAAGACTTACTTAGAAGGCAAGAGTAGCAACAAAAGAGGTTTGTTGCTAAAAGTTGACAGCTAAAAGTAATGGTCCACACAAAGGCAATTTAAATTCAGAAATTCAGAATTCAAAAAAGCTTTCTTTATTCAAACAAGTGCTTTAAATACTTCCCTTATGAGACACAATATATTCAGTTGTGAATATTCATATTAGACACCCCATATCCACTCAGAAGCGGATCCCCACTATCCATGCACTGTGTCTGTACTCTGAGTGGTCATGCCACATAAGTCTCAAATTCATCTGTTTACATAGGAGTTTGCCTCTAGTCCAAATGTGTTCGCATGGGTATTTATAAATAATTGTCATTTAAATTATCACATATTTTAAGTATTGATGTCAATAATGGAAATTGTATTTAGATATTAACCGATTTCATACTTCAATACATCCATCATGTGCTGTAGTGGCCACACGAAATGAGTCCAGCCGCCCGAAGATCTTAGCTAGGCCTTACTTTTGGGGCTTGGATTGCAAGCAACATAAACAGTCATGCTCATGGTCGTTTTCCAGCCAGGTTGTACCTTCAGAAAAATGCAGGATGCAGAATTGCTGAATTCTAGCCAGAACTACTATGTGAATACTCGTCCTCAGCTTATGTACTAGCAGTGGCTGCTGAGACGTGAATGGACTACTGCATGGAAATATGACAGGGGCATGAAGTTAGGCAGGAGAGGATCCGACGACACGCTGCAGAGAATTTAAGCTTAGCCCACATCAGGCTCTGTCAGAAACCTTTTGTGAAACTTAACCGATGAGTGAAGTTGATGCACACAGAAAGGAGAAGGGAATTGCATGAAAACACTCATGGAAGGACCAGGAAGTATACCGCCTTTGAGAGCACTTGAGTGTGGTGTGTGTATAAAATGATGGGTGAGGAGAAGAGAAAGAGATCAGCCGTCAGCTCACAGGAGCTGCCCTCGAGTGAGGTGTTCATTTTAAGGCAGTCCAGCTTAGAATGTAAATACGCACAGCGTTTTATGCACAGGCCAAGTAGGACTAGATGTTTACATTGGAAAAGCAAATCGGCAGGAGGTAGCGTTCACTAGACGAGACACTGTAATGACCTACAGAGAGGTAGGAGTCAGTTAGGTCATGCATCTTGGCAGAAAGGCAAGGAGAGCGCAAGCTGAAAAAGGTTTATGAGGTAGAACGTTGGCAGGAATAATCATCAGACTGGTACAAAAATACGGTGAAGAAGAGGGAAGACCCTGGGACCCCCAGTTTGGGAATGCAGGAAGATGGTAGTACTAATTAAGCATTGTAGGAACACAGGGAGAGAAGCAAGTTCCAAGTGAAGTGTGAGTGTTCTGGACATTTTGTTTGATGTACCAAAGATGACAGAGAACTCCTGGGCTTATGGTGCAGCGTTCTCCAGAGAGAGCCACAGGAGGATACGGGAAAAGAGTGTTCTGTGTATGAAATAATGGAAGATAAAACCATAAATTTTGTAGTGGTCAACAGGGAAAAATATAGCAGAATGAATATTAGGACCAGGTAAAGAACACAGGAGAGCGCCAGACTTAGAAGGTAAAGTGAAAGGAGATTTTTGTGTACAGATTCTTCACAGAAAGCAAATGTACAATTCCACAAAATAAGAGAGTATTAGATAAAGGCTAACAGGTGACAGTGATGATGGGTTTGAAAACAAAGCAAAAACAAAAAAGTCGCCATTATTTTTGTCTCCTTTATAATTTATGTAATGTGGAACTCACAATTGTTAGCCGCAGTGGAAAGGAGACTGAAGGAGATAGCAATGACTGAGAAGAAAACTGCAGGAGAAATGGACCAAATAAAGGAGTGTGTGTGTGTGTGTGTGTGTGTGTGTGTGCATGTGTGTGTGAGTGTGAGTGGATATGTTTATGTGTGTCAATGTGTACATGAGTGTATGTGCATGCCTGGCAGTGTGTGTGTGCATGTGTGCATGAGTGAGTGTGTGTGTGTGTGTGTGTGTGTGTGTGTGTAGCCTGTATGTGTGTGTGTGTGTCTGTGCATGTGTGTGAATGCACAGGCACACACACAAGTGTGTTGCATTCTCTACCCTTCTTGCGACCAGGGACATCCTTATTTCCCTGTTTTCTTAAACTGCCACCTCTGTGCAATGTATTACTTTCTAAACATAACTATATTTAACATAACTCAAAGATGATCTCCTGGGTAATCTATTTTCTAAATTTCACTGACAGCTTTTTAACCTTTCCGCTGAGTAATTACAGGAACTTTTGTTTAGGGCTGCAATAATAATTAGTAGCTGCCTATTTTCATTTTCAGACAACTCAGGTTAGGAATACACTATAATTATACTCAGGATAAGAGTGTTGTAATGTGTTCAAAGTCCTCCGATAACTATCCTTTCTCATTAACTATTATCAAAGCTTCTTCCTCCAGAAATACAAAAGAGGCACAAGGGAAGACATGAAAAGTAGCCGAACAACCTGTGTTTTACCGTTCCATGTAGTAGAGGTTGTGTTTGTCTTCGTTTTCTTTATTATTTTTCCAGTAATATTTAGAGTTTATAGTGACCATGGGAAACAACTTTTATCACTCTTCTCAATGCTTTTCTGTCACATGAAAAAAGTAGCAAAAGAAAGAGATTATATATATATACACATAT